GAGCCAAAAAGTTGAAACAACTCAAACATGTATCGGCTGAAGAATGGTTTAAATAATGTGGTTTATCCATGCAGTGGACTATTATTCAGGCATAAAAAGGAATGAAGTACTGACTCATGCTACAAATGGATGAACCTTGAAAACGTTATTCTAAGTGATAAAAGACAGTCACAAAAGGCCACATATTGTGCAAATACATTTTAAATGTCCAGAATAAAATATAGAACCCTTTTAAAAGGGCCTAAAAAGCATTTATAGGCTGAACATATACCTATGTGTATATATGCTGAGATTTTATGTGAAATAGTTTATGTATACTCATAGGAGATGCCTGGAAGGATGTTAAGCAAATTGTTACCGGTTATGTCTAGGTGGTGAGAATTTTAGGTGATTTTTAAAAATGATTTAACTTTTTATATTTTTTGATTTATTCTTTTCAATGAACATGTCTTGGCAAAAGAAAATAAAAAAGTTCTTTTTTGTTACGTAGAAATTTGATTATCTAGATGTTTTCATTTTTTTTTTTTTTTAAAGATGGGGTTTTGCCATGTTGCCCAGGCTGGTCTCGAACTCCTGAGCTCAGGCAATCCACCCACCTTGGCCTCCCAAAGTGCTGGGATTATAGGCGTGAGCCACTTCGCCCAGCTGATGTTTTCATTTTTTAAATATTGAGTAGATATTATATTTATAAATTACATATGGAATTTGAGTGCTGTTATTCTGTAATCACCAGTTAGGAACAATCAGCATTGTATTTGATGCCCTTGGTCTCCCCTCTCTGACCTCATTCGTGTCCCAGAGACATAACTGCTACCCTGAATTTTGTTTTTATTATTTCATTGCTATAGTTTTACCACATTTGTATCTCTAAGCCGTGTTGTTTTTCCCTATGTGCTATTGAACTTTATAACTAGAATTGTATTATGTATATACTTCTTTCACTTCCTTTTTTATTCCATATGAGATTTGAGACTCATTCATATTTTTGTGTGGCTGTAGTTCATTGGTGTCTCATTGTTTTACTGTGTTACATTATTAATATTCCACAATTTGTTCTTTGTAGTATTGATGAATGACTGGATTGTCAGTTTTTTGTCTGTCATGAGCAATGGTGATGTGAATATTGTGCATGTCTTCTTGTGCACTTGGGCAAGAGTTTCTCTTTGTGTATGGTCAGGTGTGTAGCTGCTGGGTTGCAGGATAATGTGTTTCTTCATCTTTTCTAGTAGTAGTTTTCTGTTGCTGGTAACAAAGTACCACAAACTTAGAGCCTTAAAACAACTCACATTTTGAAATTTCATGGTCCGATAAGTCAGAAGTGCAGTAGGCTTGGCTGGGTTATCTCCTCTGGGTCTTGTGAGGCTGAAATCAAGTTGTCAGTAGGACTGCATTCTTTTCTGGATGCTCTGGAGAGAAATCCACTTCCACACTTATTTGGGTTGTTGGTAGAATTCAGTTCATACGGTTGTAGGACTGAGGTCCATGTGTCTTTGCTGGATGTCAGCTGGTGGTCATTCTCAGCTTCTACAGGCCACTCACATTCCTTGCCTTATGACCTCCTTTCTTAACTTCATCTTCAAAGCCTGGAAGTAGGAGATTGGAATCTCTCTCATGCTTTGTATCTTTCTGACTCATATATATTTTTTTTTCTTCTCTAGATGGAGATCATTCTCTGCTTTTAAGGGCTCATGTGATTTATTGGGTCTACTGGGATAATCTAGATTACTCTTTCTATTTTGTCTTCATGGTCCCTTCACAGCTATACTCAGATTAGTGTTTAAATAACCATGGACAGGAATCTTGGGAGACTATCATAATACAAATTATTTTCCATAGTGGTAGTACCAGTATGCATTTACATTAGCAGATGTTGGAGTTCTTGTTCTGTGTCCTTAATATTGTCAGATGTTTAGGCTGAGAAGCGGTATCTCATGTTTTAAATCTATGGGTCCATGTATATCCATACATAAGTAAAGATAGTTTTTTTTTTTCCCTTTTCAAAAAGTTTTACATAAATAATTTTATTCTGTGTGTGTTCTATAATATGTGAGGTTTTTCTCCAGAATTGTGCTTTTGTGGTTTGAGTTTTAATAACTACTGTATGGTGTTTTATTGTACAAATAGATCACAATTGGTTCGTTCTTTCATTGATGAAAATTTAGAATGTTACTTAGTTTTTCTTGTGAATATGTGAGAGAATTTCTTGAAATATATGTTTATACACTTAGAAGTAAGATTGCATATATGTTGGTAAAATCTAGAAGTGAAAATCATGTGCATCTTTCCTATTTTACTGTAGAGAGAGACTTACAAAAAAGTAGATTCTTTCCCTCCCTGTGTTCTTTTTTTTTTTTTTTTTTTTTTTTTTTTTTTTTTTGAGACAGAGTCTCGCTCTGTCTGGCACCAGGCGCCAGGCGCTAGGCTAGGCTGGAGTGCAGTGGTGCGATATTGGCTCACTGCAACCTTTCCCTCCCACGTTCAAGCAATTCTCCTGCCTCAGCCTCCCGAGTAGCTGGGACTATAGGCGCGCACCACCACGCCCAGCTAATTTTTCTATTTTTTTAGTAGAGACAGGGTTTCACCATGTTGGCCAGGATGGTCCCAATCTCTCTTTTTTTTTCTTTCCCCTAAGTCGGACATTTTATTTAAATAGCCTCCAGTGACAAGAGAGTGGGCCAATTACTACCCCTTCATTGCAAAATCATGTAACCAAACCAAGGAGAGTAAGTGCACCCAGCAGCCAGCCAGTCATGTGATGAATGAGGTGCCTCTCAGTGGGGGTGGCCATGACCACGGCCCCAGCCAGCTGCTGGGGGAGCATCCACAGTCGAGTGAGGGTTCTTGATGGTTTCACCTACAGACACGATCAGGCATGCAGCCTCAGAGGCTGCTGTCAGGGCATTGATCCGCACTATAGCTGGCTCCCACACAAAAGGCTCAAAGTTGTCAGCAATGTCCTCGTTGTTGATATCTACCCTATACCATGTGCCCCCCTGGGCATGCCAAGCCCATAGCTTGTTGAGAATGTTTGTGGCATCAAAGCCGTTATTGTCACACAGCTGGTGTGGGATAATCTCCAAAGCCTTGGCATATGCCCCAATCAACAGCTGCTGTTTTCCAGGAATGGTCCTTGAGTAATCCTGCAGGTACTCGGAGAGCTCCATCTCAATGGCCCCACCACCAGCCACCACTGAATCATTCTTGATGGCTCTCCTGACGATCATGATGGCATCATGCAGGGACCACTCTGTGTCCTCCATAAACTGCGCAGCACCACCACGAAGGATGAAGGTGCATGTCTTGGCCTTGGGGCAGCCAGTAAAAAAATTGTACCTCTCGCCTCCATTCTGGGTTTCTTCAAACACCTGGCATCGACCCAGCACATCTGCTGACAGAGCATTCACACTGGTCCGGATTGAGCCTCCACAGGCCATCATTGTCCTCTGCAGATCCTCCTCAGGTACTCGGCCAGCACAGAACATGTCCCTGTCAGCAAAGTACTGGGTGGCCACATCCCCATTGGGGAGTTTGGACAAGACAACTTTGGCTCCAGAATGATAGATCTTCTCTAACTTGTCATAGAGAATGTTCCACTCAGCATCAACAATTGCCTGATAATCCTCAACTGTGTGGACTCTTATCTCAGCATTTTCTTTCTCAGCTTTCAACTCAAGCTCAACATTCAAAAGGACAATCTTTGGATTGTGGTACTTTTTGGGTTGCATTTCAAACCCAGCATAAGAGAAAGTCTTCTTGAATATAACGCCAGCTACCAGCTGAGAACCCTCAAGGCTCCACCCTGTACCTTCTTGATTCCAATCATTTTAAGCTGCAGCAAATCATCAAGCATCATCACTGCATCCACCACCATCTTAGCAAAGAAAGCTTTCTGCTGGGAGATCAGCTTGGAGCTCAGAGCAGTCATGGCACACTTCTCCAGCAGCTTCCTCTGCTCCACTTTATCTGCCTTCTTCACAGTCACAGCAATCTCTTTGATCTTGTTAACTGCCAGCTGGGTGGCTGTGCAGAAAGCTCGAATGATGATCTGTGGGTGTAAACCTTCCTCCACATAGGGTTTCACCTGCTTCAGAAACTCTGCAGTGAGCAAGGTCACTGAGGTGGTGCCATCACCCACCTCAGCATCTTGGGATTTGGCAGTGTCCACCAAAGTCTTTATTGCAGGATGGACAACATCAAGAAGTTTCAGAATTGTGGCCCCATCATTAGAAATTGTTGCTTTGCTTCTGCCATCCACAATAAGCTTGTCCATACCACGAGGACCCAAGGTGGTTCTTACAGCCTCAGCAATCACCTGACAGGCACTGATGTTACTCACAAGCTGGGGGATGCCTTGGGAGGTATCAGTCCCCTCTTTCAACAGGATAACTGGCATGGGCATCATTTTGGAAGCTTATTCAGCGTCCCGCCACGCTCCTTCTTCTCCGAGACCCGGCCGCCGAGCCGGTCCCAATCTCTTGACCTCGTGATCAGCCCGTCTTGGCCTCCCAAAGTGGTGGGATTACAGGCGTGAGCCACTGCGCCCAGCCCCTTCCATCCATTCTTTTTTGATTTCCTTTGTTACTGCTTTTATCCAATCTGACAAGCGTATGTCTTTATTGTCTTTAAAAGAGCTATATGGGTAATGTTACAATGCTAAAAAATTAAAATACTGTAAGTAAATAAAAAGTCTGATCTAATTTTGCTGGGTATTTTAATAAAAGTGGGATCATACTACACATACAATTGGTTGTATCAATACATACAGATCCACAGTCTCCCTTTTAATAATTATGTAGTATTCCTTTGCAGGTTGTTTTGTTTACTACTCTTTTTTTTTTTTTTGAGATGGAGTCTCACTCTGTCACCCAGGCTGGAGTGCAGTGGCGTGATCTCGGCTCACTGCAGCCTCTGCCTCCGGGGTTCAGGTGATTCTCTTGCCTCAGTCTCTTGGGTACCTGAGACTGCAGGCGCATGCCAACACACCTGGCTCATTGTTTGTATTTTTAGTAGAGACGGGGTTTCACCATTAGCTAGGATGGTCTCGATCTCCTGACTTCGTGATCTGCCTGCCTTGGCCTCCCAAAGTGTTGGCATTACAAGCAGGAACCACTGCGCCTGGCCGTTTACTACTCTATACTTAGTACCTCGAAATCAATAAATATTTGTGGGATGAGTGAAGAATATATGGGTACATATATTCATGAGTTATTCAACCCTTCCCCTGTTAGTGGATATTTAGTATGCTCTGATTTGTATCTTTTAAAATTGTGTCACAGTGATCATTCTTGTACTTATGTCTTTGAACATTTATGGGTGTATTTTTACAGTCTAGAGCCCTAAAAGTGGAATTGCTTGGTCACAGGGGGTTTAAATTGTATAGTGGCAATTGGTTGTCCCATTTTTATTTCAATCTGTACTCCCACTAATGGTGTTTTGGTGCTCTTTCCCCTATTAACTTGCCTACAACGTTATCTATTACCAATCCCTTATTTTTCTGTCTCTTAAAATTAATGTTGAAATTTTTATCAAAATAATACTTGGACATTGCTTTAAAATAGGGAACATAGGGCCGGGCACAGTGGCTTGTGCCTATAATCCCAGCACTTTCAGAGGCTGAGGTGGAAGGCGTGCTTGAGGCCAGGAATTCAAGACTAGCCTAGGTAATATATTTAAAAAAAAAAAAAAATAGGGAGCATAAAGTCTTGTAATAAAAAATAGAGGCAAACTTTCTTGTTGATAGTAGCTACTTTTAATATTTCTAAACATGTTTATACCATTGTTATTGATCAACTTTAAATATTATGCATTGCCTTCCTATTTTGATAGTTGAGGATTTAGACATCTTAAACTCCTCATTTACCTTTTTCCACTCTTTGACTATGGTTACATCCCTACTTTTAGTGAAATCAATAATAAATATTTAGTGACAACTATTCATCTGCAGAGCCAGGTGGTAGTCTGTGACTACATTTCCTTTCTTATGTTGTTTTTTTTTAAAGTTATATTACCTAGTTTTTTTCACCTGCATCCCTTTTAGTACAAATTATTGCTAAGTGGATCATCTTTTCTCTTAGTCTCTATATTTTCATAAAACAAAAAATGTAAATCCTTTTCCACAACATCTGTACAGCTTGGTACAGTTCTGAAGGGCAAAAGAATTCGGAAACTAAACTTGAATTCTGCTCTTGAGTTTTCTGAGAAGCTTGACCTCTGGCAAGCAGCCCTGCTTCATCTTTCTCTGCCTTATTTACTCATTTATAAAAATAGGATTGGGTTTGGACTGACTGGTCTCTGATTCCTTTCAGTTCTGCCATTCTGGGTTTTTTGGTTCCTGTTGAATCTTAATTGTATCACTTAAAAAGCTAGCTTGTGGGGAAAGTGCATTTTACAACTTGGAAAAGAAAAAGGCTTGGGTGAGGAAGACAAGATAATCTTATAGAAGCTTGAAGGGCTGCTTAATAGAGAATAATTAGGCTTGTTTCACATGATTCAAAACTAATACCCGTTGTAGAACGGAAGGTGCTCTTGATTCAGCATTAATGGACACATTCCTAACAGCTATCCCCTGTCCAACATTGAAGTAGGCCACCTTAAGTGGTGGGCATTTCCTAACACTGAAAGAACAGAGGTCAAGATAGATAGGCAAAATGATGCTTTAGAGACAGGTTGAAGTTATTTAAGCCCCAGCCAGCCAGGGATAGTACTGGATGACTAACCGTCTGGCCTCCTATGGGTGGAAATTATGGCATGATAAGGTTGTTAAAATAATTTTTAAAAACCTATTATGGTGTGACTCAGTGGTCATGACTTTAACCAAATTATAATAATGATGATTCATACACTTTTTTTTAAATCTGCATTTTTTTTTTTAAGTACGTAAGTACTGTTCTCAGTTTTGAAAATGTTACTCCTCTAAGTCTTGTGTAGCTCTTGATGATTCATCTGGGAAAGCAACCCTTTTCTTCTTTTTGAGTGATCTTTGAATGCTTGACACTTTCCCTTAAACTAAGCTGGGAACTTTGAGTTTGAGTTCTTAGGTCCTGTTAAGATACACAGCTAAATTTGTCATTGACTATGTGGGTGTGTTGCCAAGTTCTCTAGAGATGTTTCCCAGTCTGGGCAATTTTGATAGTGTTATTTTCTTACAGTTTCTGCTGTGAAGCAGTCTGAAGAAATAAAAGATATGTATAAGAGTAAGTCCTTGGGGAAAAAAGCATTCTTACTACTTTTATTAAATTATGGTGCTCTCATTCCCAATTCCTGAGGTAGAATTTTAGTCATCTTAGCATCTGAGTGAGGAGGTCATGTGTGTGTTTACATTTTCTGAACTACCTCAGATCTCCTTTAACCACTGGGTGTCTTGTTCCTGCTGAATTGTACTGTACAGTAGACTCCACTGTACTAGTGGATGCATCAGTTTATGGTAGGATTTCTTGATCTTAGCTCTGTTGACAATTGGGGTTGGATAATTCTTTGTTGTGGAGAACTGTTTTGTGTATTGTAGGATGTTTAGTAGCATCCCTGGCCTCTTCCTACTAGGTGCCATTAGCTCCCCCACCCTTGTGGCACCTAAAAATATCTCCAGGACACTGGCAAAGTCCCCTGGGGTGATAAACTGTCCCTCTCGAGAAGCAGAGACTTAACGCCGCCCAGCTGGCCCTCTGCCATGGTTAAGGTCTTCCTGCTCTTGTCTGGTTTCTCCATGTTCCCAGCCTTCTTCACAGCCTCCTCTTACCTGACTGTGCTCTGCTCAGCTAATTAGGCAGAAAGTTGCCAAGTAGAAGGTGGAATCAGCGGGGAATAGGGCAGAACTGGAGCCGGGTGTGGTCCTGGATAGTGGCTGAGCTCTGCAGCACACAGATGGGTGTGTTTTTTGGTAGTAGCTAAGATTAGACTGCTAACGCAAATGTTCTTTGACGTGAAAATAAACTGACAATACGACTGGTGGTCCTAGTGCACAACACTTAGCAGGTATGTGGTGTCTTTTTATTGTCTCAGCCTGCCTTGGAGTCTGATGTTAACAAAAGAAAGCTCCAAGCATGTTTCCTCCTTAATATTTTTATTCGAAAGAAGCAAACAAAAGTGAAACTAGTTTTTGATGAACTTTGTATTCAATATAGGTTTCAATTTTCAGGTGACTTTAATAGCTAGATACAGCTTTTACATGTATGAAATGAGGTGGGAGAGTTTGTAAATTTGAAGCAGCAAATATTTACTGAATGTAGCCAGGGATGGTGCCATACCTTCAAGAAACGGTCGGAGTGCGCAGGGAGTGAGACAGGCACCATGATGTGTAAGCAGTGGTAGTTCACAGGTGGTGAGGGTTGAGATCTCTTAGATAAACTGGAGACTGGGACAGGTGTTCACATTCCCTACTTATATTCATTTTCAAACAGTCACTGTTTATAATGTGTCTGTTCTGAGCTTTATGAATTTTTTTTTTTTACTTAAGATCATCCTAACTGCCCATTTTGTAAACTTTATTCTCAACATTTATTATGTCATATTTCCTGATTTTAATAACTTTTAATGACTGCATATTACATTTTATGGTTATATTCTAAGTGGTTTACTTTACCATTTCCCTGTTGTTTAACATATGAATTATTTTAAGGAATTTTGCTACTATATAGCTATCATTTAATGAATATCTTTGGTAAAGTTTTAGTCCACAGTTTAGATTATTTCTTTGCGTGTTACGAACTAGAATGGCGTGGATTCTTTTTTTTTTTTTTTTCTTGAGATGGAGTCTTGTTCTGTCACGCAGGCTGGAGTGCAGTGGTGCCATCTTGGCTCACTACAACCCCTGCCTCCCGGGTTTAAGCAATTCTCCTGCCTCAGCCTCCCAAGTAGCTGGGATTACAGGTACCCGCCACCGTGCCTGGCTAATTTTTGTATTTTTTTTTTCTTTTTTGAGATGGAGTCTCGCTCTGTAGCCCAGGCCGGAGTCCAGTGGTGTGATCTCGACTCACGGCAACCTCCACCTCCCGGGTCCAGTTCAAGCAATTCTCCTACCTCAGCCTCCCAAGTAGCTGGGATTACAGTCAGGAGCCCATGCCCAGCTAATTTTTGTATTTTTTTAATAGAGATGGGGTTTCACCATGTTGGCCAGCCTCAGCTTGAACTCCTGACCTCGTGATGCGCCTGCCTTGGCCTCTCAAAGTGCTGGGATTACAGGTGTGGGCCACTGCGCTTGGCCTAATTTTTGTATTTTTAGTAGAGACAGTTTCACCGTGTTGGCTAGCTTAGTCTTGAGCTCCTGACCGCATGATCCGCCTGCCTTGGCCTCCCAAAGTGCTGGGATTACAGGCATGAGCCACCACGCTCAGCCTTTTCTCTCTCTCTCTTTTTTTTTTTTTGAGACAGTTTCACTCTGTTGCCTAGGCTGGAGTGCAGTGGCGTGCTCTTGGCTCACTGCAACCTCCACCTCCTGGGTTCAAGCTATTCTGCCTCAGCCTCACAAGTAGCTGAGATCACAGGTACCTGGCACCATGCCCTGCTATTTTTTCTATTTTTAGTGGAGACGGGGGTTCACCATGTTGGCCAGGCTGGTCTTGAACTCCTGACCTCAGGTGATTCACCCATGTCAGCTTTCTAAAGTGCTGGGATTACGGGTGTGAGCCACTGCACCTGGCCTGGTGTGTATATTTTTAAGGCTCTTGATTCACATTGCTGAACTGCTTTCCTAAAAGATTCTAATTAATGCTTCCACTAGCAAGGTATGAGTGGCCATTTTAGGGCATCCTTGCCAATGTTGATGTATTTGAAAAAAAAAAAAAAAATCACTGATTTAACAGGTGGAAACATCTCACCTTTCATTGACTTTTTGTTTTTGTTTTCCTTTAAAAGTTTATTTGCCATCTTTTTGTGCAGTTGGCTGTACATGTCTTTTCCTGTTAATCTTGTGGAGGTGTTAAGTGCTTTTTTAAAAAACTTGCTTTATATAGCTTCTTTACATATGAGGGGTCATGACTTTTTGTCTGCCCCGTATTTGTTTAAAAAAAAAAAAAAAAAAAAAGCTTATCTAATTTTCCAGTTGTCTTTTGCTTTATGTGTAACTTACAGAAAAAATACACAGTATAAATTACTACATATAATTTACTAAAATTCACCAATTGTTTGTATTTTACCTCATTAGCTTTATCACTCTTTCCCCCCTTTCTTTACATGCATATATATAAAAATGCTTTTTTTGGGATTCATTTGAGTTTAAGTTGTATAGGTACTAAGAACACTTCACATGTATTTCTGAGAACCAGGATGTTCTCTCGCATAACCACAGTAAAATTACCAGTCAAGAAATTTAACAGTTGGTACAGTGTTGTTATCTAATTCATAGGGCAATTCAATAATGTCCTTTATTGCCCTTTTGTTTTCCCTGTCCAGTATCCAGTCCAGAATCACTGTGAAATTGTCATGTTTCTTTAGTCGCCTTTAATCTGGAGTATTTTGTTAACCTCTCGTTGTCATTCTTGATGTTGGTGTTTTGGAAGAGTACAGATCAGTTATTTTTTTAGAATGTCCCTCACTTTGTACTTGTCTGAAGTTTTCTCGTGGATAGGTTCAGTTCATACATTTTATGCAAGGATAACAAAAAAGTTATTTATATTTTTCTCAGTGCAACATATTAGGAACAACCTGATATCAGTTTGTTCCAATATTGCCCAATAACATGAGACAATTGGTTAAGTTGGTATCTGCCTGATTTCTCTACTGCCATGATACTGTTTTTCTCTTTTTAGTTAATATGTATTGACACTGTGTTAATACCCTATTTCTCATCAAACTTTCACCCACTAGTTTTAGTGTCCAGTGATGACTGTCCACTGCATACTTCTTCTGTAACTATTAATTGGCATTTTACTATAAGGAAGACCTTTCCCCCTTCTCTTCACATCCCATTTATTTATTTATTCAATTATTTATTTGAATGATTCATATATATATTTATTTAGTGGTCTATAATTCATTACTGTGATTATTTTTATACTAAAATTATCTCAAATTTGTCCTGTGTAAACTCTTTCAGACTGGCTTCTGTGTTCTTTTTATATGTCTCCACAATTCTTTTTTTTTTTTT